TGAGAGAGTGATTCCCATTTATTTGGGGGGGGGCACTGTGATTTGGGTATTTTGCTTTTTAGCAGATGGATCATTTGAGTATAGGAAAACATTTAATTTACAAGTGTTGATCTCATATGCTACTACATAGCTAATCTACAACGATCTCTAAAAGTCTTCTGGTGGAGTTCTTTGCTTCTTCTAAATAGAGGATCATATCTTCAATTGAGAGAATTTGAGCTCTTCCTCTCCTATTCATATTTCTTTAATTTCCTTCTATTGACTGATTACTTTGACTAGAGTTTCAAGAATGATGTAGAATGTAAATTGTGAAAGTGGACATCCTTGCCTTATTCCTGTTTTTATATAAAGTGCTTTTCATTTTTCTCTGTTTAGTGTGATGTTTGTCTTGGGCTTGCCATATAGAGTCTTGACAATGTTGAGGTAATTTCTTTCTAGCCTTAGTTATTTTTGTGTGTGTGTGTTTTAAACATGAGTGTGTGCTGTATTTTCTCCAATTATTTTTCTGCATATTTTGAGATAATTGTGTGATTCTCATTCTTAAGACCATTGTGTGGGGTTACATTTACTGATTCCCATATTTTGAACCAAACTAGTATCTCTGGGATGAAACCCACTTTACCATAGAACATTGTCTTTTAATATGTTTTTGGATGTCCACTAATGTTTTATTCTAGAAGCATCAAGGATATTGGCCCAAAGTGTTCTTTCCTTAGTGAATCTTTCTCTGATTGTTGCCCAGGGTGATAGTGGCTTCATGGAATGAGTTTGGCAGTGTTCCCTCCTTTTCTATTTCAGGGAATAGTATGATAAGGATTTGGATTAGTTCTTCTTAAAAAAGTGTGGTAGAAATTGCCAGAAGTTGGTGGAATTCTGGTAAAAATTCTGTTAAAAATTGTCCATTCCTGGGCTTTAATTGGAAGGGTTTGATTATTTTTTTGAATTCATTTCTTGAGTTAATCTATTTAAGTTTTAGATATCTTCATGGTTCAATTTGGGTAGATCATATGCTCCTAGGAATATGTCCATATCTTTAAAATTTTCTAGCAGATTGAAGTATCAATTTCCAAAAAAGTATTTGATGATCCTCTGGATTTCAATAGTGTCTGTGGTGATCTTTACTTTTTCATCTCAAATTTTGTGAATATGCTCATTTCTCTCTTTATTTTCAATTAGTTTCATTGGAGTTTATCAGTCTTGTTGAATCATTCCAAAACAACCTGCTTGCTTCATTGATGTTTTGCATTTAAAAAAAATTCAATTTCATCGATTTAGGCTCTAATTTGGTGTTGATTCGTTTTTTGTTTTTCTAGGGCTATGAGATATTAGATTATATATTTGATATCTCTCTTTGCTTTTGATACATAAACTCAATGCTATAAGATTCCTTTTAGAATTGGCTTCATACTGTCCCAGAGATATTCATATATTGTATTCTTATTCTCATTTACTTCTAAGAATTTTTAAAATTTGTCACCTGATTTCTGCTCCTATCTGTTCATCATTCACAAGTATATTATTTAATCTCCAGGTGTTAGAGTGATCTGTTTTTTACATCATCTTTGGTTCCTAATTTCATTTCATTATGATCTGATAGGAAGCTAGGTATTTTCAATAATATTTTGAATTGGCTAAGATTTGCTTTGTGACCTAGAACATGGTTTATTTTAGAAAATGGTCCATATGCCACTGAGAAAAAAGTGAAGTCAGACATTGATGGATGAAATATTCTAGAGATATCTATTAGGTCCAGGTTACTAATTATATTGTTTAGTTCTGTGGAATCTTTACTAAGTCTTTTTCTGGATGATATATCCAGTCTTGAGAGAGGTATGTAAAAGTCAATCAGTATTATTGTATCATCATCTCTGTGATTCTTAATACTGAGAAGGATTGGTTATGTATTTGGATGTTCCATTATTTTAGGCTTAGTATTAATGCTCATTATCTCTTGTTGGATGATACCTGAAAGCACTATGGAGAGTTCTTTATTGTGTCTTCCATTTAATCTTGGCTTGAAGTCCATTTTTTTTTTTCTGATATGAGAATAGCTACCATTGCTTGTTTATGGGGCCCACATGAATGGTGTATGTTTTCCCTGTTCTTTTACCTTCAGTCTGTGGATACTTTGCCTGTGAGGTGAGTCTATTGCAGACAACATATTGCTGGGTCTTGTGTTTGTACTTCAGGCTGCCACCCTCATGTCTTCAATTGAGGACTTCAGACCATTTGTATTCAGGGTTATTATAGAGAGATGATTTTATTTCCTGCCATATTCAATGATTTTTAATGTTTCAGTTGGTCTTGATTGTTCCTTACTCAAGTCTTTTTATAGTGTAATTCCTTCATATAATGATTTTGGTTTTTATTTTTCAATTCATCTTCATAAAATGTTTTATTTAGTATGCATTTGAATTACAGGCATTGTGGTTCTGAATTAATTTAGTGTCTGTTTATCATATAAGGTTTGCTTTCATCTTTGATTCTGAAGCTTAAGTTTGATGGCTGTAGCTTTCTTGGTTGGCATCTATTTTCTTTCAGAGGTAGGAATATACTATTCCAATCCCAGCAGTCTTTCAGGATCTTGGTTGAGAAATCAGGTGAAATCCTATTGTTTTAACTCTACCTTTGACTGGTAATTTTTCTCTTGCAGCTGAAATGTTTTCTGAAATATATGGAAATGAGTTTAGATAGTAATGTATAATGACATTGTAAGAACAGATACAAATACAATCTATGGCAATGACACATTTCTATCACTCTACATATTTCTCTGATTACCTATATTGCTTCAAATAAAAACTCACAATATTTATTATTATAATATATAATATTATATATATATTTCATTCCTCAATATTTAAATGAGTTATGAGTTTAACTGGGAAATAAATTGTTTGAATAGAAACTATGTAGAATTTCCTATCAATTAGACATAAGTATTTTGTCTCTATTTGGATGATATGTTATACTAAGACTTGTGAATTCAGATAATTCTAGTACATATTAACTATGGACACAATATGTTACAAATATTTACTTTAAAAAGATTGTGCAATAATGAAATGTGACACCTGAGAGGAAATGTGCCTTTTTCATGCCTTTGTTTCAAAGATATATTAATGCCATGAGTCCATGCTACTCACATACATAACCCAATTCCTGGAAAGTGTTAGTTGTGTCTACCATCATGTGTTCTTTATCGTACCATTCAATACAGGAAAGGAAAACCTACTGAGAACAAACATTCTACACTGTCTCTAAAACTCCAAATCATAAAAAAGGTGAGTTTGTAGACCTCAGATAATTCATCCATATGGACCAGAAGTGAATTCTCCATTCTATTTCCCTAGACCATGAGTAAAATTTAGGAAGGAGTGCATAGAGTTATGTCTCTTCTGTATTCAGTTTCCTCCATCAGAATCCAGTGTGTGGTTGACAGTGATATTCCATGATCTTCATGGTTCCTCCTCAACAATAGGATTCTTTGCTGTGGAAAAACGATTCTGCGAAACTCCCTAAATGTTTGTAGAAAACTTTCTGATAGTAATCAAAATTTTTGAATATGTTTCATTTTTCCTCTGCCATGCCTGCACACCAATCCAGTGAATTATCTCCCCACTCAAACATTGTAGTATTTAAACACGTCTTATTCTCCTGTCTCAGCAAACAAACCCTTAATATAAGAACACCTGAATCAGACATTTCCTAAGCAAGATAATAGGATGGAAATATTAAAAGGGTTTATTCTTTAAAGAGCCTAACTAAAATTTGATAAAAACAATGAAGATTGCCACCACAGAGAAACCAAATACTCTCTTCCTTCCTGTTTGTTACATGCAGAAGACTACCTACTGGACTGGCAGCATCCCTCCTTTTGAGCAAAAGAAGTCAAAGGCTTTTAGCAGTGGAATTTGGTGACCTTAGAGCTTTGACTTCATCCTCACTATGGATATATGTCACTGATATGCATTGTCGAGATAACTGTGTTCAGTTTGCCTCTGATTTTCATTTGGTTGTTTGATTTGTTAGATTATAAAACCTAAATGGTGAAACCAGATCAATAACCACAACAAAGAAAAAAGAGAACGCTTGATATATCCAAAGCCTAGTCATCACGGCAGGTGGGAGTGAAATGAAAAAGGAGGAACCTCAGAGGTTGTCAAGAGAGTGCTGGACACAGAGGATGAGTCAATATGGCCTGTAAGGACCACAGAGTCAGGGAAGCCAAAACAGAGAAAAGCACTTCTCCACCAAGAAGAGGGTGGCAGGACCTCAAGGTCGTGGTGTAGCTGATCTTAACAGCCAACTTCCCTCAGGAGACCCTGAAGTTCCTTTTAGATATTGGTGCAGGGGAGAGAAAAACATGGAATATCATGACCTAGGTTCCCCCCTGACAAATGTTCTGTGTATTCCATTAAATGACTAAAATGCACAAGATTGAGAGTGGGAATGGGGAATATGTCCTAGTGTCCTCGCTGCTCTGGTGCATGGTCTGTGATGCACATTCCAAACTTCTTACCCCAGATGACCCTTAGGGAAAGAGCCATGAGATGACAAAGCCAATGCTTAATTTTGTGGCCCCGGGAAATAAGTATGGGATGCTAAAGTCAATCTTTCCCAAGACACACATGATGTACTCTGACATTGACACTGAAGCCCAGCAGAAAGAGGCAGAATGTCATGTGACACGTCTCTTTGAGGAAGGAGAACTAGAAAGACACTTGAGAGATGATCCAGGAAGAACTGACAAATGAATCCTAATACATCAGGGAAAGGAAATCCTGTTCTCCATTCCACCTGAAATTGGACCAAAAATGAGGGAGCCTAATTGAATAATAGCCTGTTTACTAATACAAACAATAACAAGGAAAGGATGTTGCATATGAAGACAGCAGCCCCTTAGCAGGGTATAAAAGGGGACGTGGATCAGAGAGGCCTCCAAACCTTTGAAACCCACCTTCCTGGAAATACCCCCAGAACCTCCAGTCTCTGACACCATGTGCAACTCCTGTTGTGGCTCCTGCTGCTCTGGCCAGGGGTGTGGCTGCTGCCATCCCAGGTGCTGCCAGACCACCTGCTGCAGGACCACCTGCTGCCGCCCCAGCTGCTGTGTCTCCAGCTGCTGCAGCCCCTGCTGTGGAGGTTCCAGTGGCTGTGGCTCCTGCTGCTGCCAGCCCATGGGCTGTAGGACCACCTACTGCCGCCCCAGCTGCTGTGGCTCCAGCTGCTGCAGCTGTGGTGGGTCCAATGGCTGTGGAGGTTCCAGTGGCTGTGGCTCCTGCTGCTGCCAGCCCATCTGCTGTAAGACTACCTGCTGCAGGACCACTTGCTGCTGCCCTACCTGCTGTGGGTCCTGCTGTGGTGGCTCCAGTGGCTGTGGCTCCAGTGGCTGTGGCTCCTGCTGCTGCCGCCCCATCTGCTGTAGGACCACCTGCTGCCGCCCCAGCTGCTGTGGCTCCAGCTGCTGCAGCCCCTGCTGTGGTAGTTCCAGTGGCTGTGGAGGTTCCAGTGGCTGTGGCTCCTGCTGCTCTCGCCCCTGCTGCCTCCAGACCACCTGCTGCAGGACCACCTGCTGCCGACCCTGCTGCTGTGTGGCCAGCTGCTGTCGCCCAAGCTGCTGCTGCTAGTCTCTGTGCCACCAGCCCAACTGCTGCTAGCTGCCCCACCAATTCATTCCTCTCCTCCTGCTCCACTGCTTCTTGTGCTCAGCACCCGCACCTGCCCCCCCCCCCAGCCCCCCACCCCCACCCCACTGCTCTTCAACCAACAGATTGATGGAGTCCATCTCTGGGCACAGTCAGCACAGGCCACTTACAAACCTTCATTCCAGTGGGTGGTTTGATAGCGTTTGGCCTCCACATGGGTAGCCCCTCCTCCACCACGTTATCAGCTGTCTCCCAAATCAAAAGGAGTCTCTTTTCCCTGAATCTGTCTGCTCTCGTGTTACCCCATGGAACCAACTGCCCTGTGTTATATTTCCTTGTGTCAATAGAATCTTATATCTTCAATAAATGTAACTTAGACCTGCATACAAACATAAAGCTATGGTGTCTCTTTGTTTTTCCTTTTTGAATTTTTGTCCTTCTTTGTCACCCTTTTTGGTAGTTCATCACTAAACATTGAGAAATCATAGCATACAATTTGAGGTGAACATTTCACAACCTAATACAGGAAGATAGTTTGGAAAGCAAGCACCTGGTCCTCCCTGCCCGAGGACCTTCTCTGGATACAAACCAAGCTCTGTTCACAGGGTTCATTAAACAGGGATGAGAGGTGGGAGGGAAAGGGAGAGAGAAGGGAAATTGCATGGAAATGGAAGGAGACCCTCAGGGTTATACAAAATTACATACAAGAGGAAGTGAGGGGAAAGGGAAAAATAATACAAGGGGGAGAAATGAATTACAGTAGAGGGGGTAGAGAGAGAAGAGGGGAGAGGAGGGGAGGGGAGGGGGGATAGTAGAGGATAGGAAAGGCAGCAGAATACAACAGACACTAGTATGGCAATATGTAAATCAATGGAAGTGTAACTGATGTGATTCTGCAATCTGTATACGGGGTAAAAATGGGAGTTCATAACCCACTTGAATCAAAGTGTGAAATATGATATATCAAGAACTATGTAATGTTTTGAACAACCAACAATAAAAATTTAAAAAAAAAAAGAAAAAAAGGAAAAAAAAAAAAAAAGCCCCCAGAACAGTGTTCAACCAGTGAATAGGGATAGGTGCACAGATTCCACCTGGGTGAGCCTTCTGGTTGACCAGAGATCTTCACTGAGGTTGGAGCTCAGATACCTTCAGGAATGATCTCTTCATTATGTCACTCTCTGCTATCTTCCCTCTCCACGTTGGAACATTTTCCATCATCCCTATAATGTTTCCTGGGATCAATTTGCAAATAAATTCTTGGATCCCAAACCCCAAATGAGGATCTGTCTGAACATTTATCCAGACGAGTTATCTTGTTTTCTTACTCTCAGTGTGCCTGCTCCTTAACAACGTTTCATGCAACGTGGATGGTTGCCTTATCATCAAGTCAATTCTTGGTTTGACGGTCCATTAAACTCGTAAGTCCTCTGAACAAGTGCTGTTTCTTACCAATTTTCAGTGTCTTTCAGAGTAGTCGTTGTGAATGCTTTCTTTCACTGCATCTGAGGTATATACAAAAGACCACTTTTCTGAAGAAGCTACCACCCTAGGCCTCACTAAAAACAACCTGAATTGGAGGTTTCCTTATTTTGTTTTCTTCTGTTTTGTTTTAGGAAAGGTGAATGAAGAAAAGCTTTCATGAGATATTTAAAAGAAACTGTGGGAGACAAGTCAGACTCCCTCATGGAACACATTCTGTGATTGCTACCCACTCTGATTTTCCAGGAAGTCCAGATACTGAGAGGTAGAATATCTCTGCTTCTTGTGAGGTGACGAGGCTGGACCTTAGCCCTTCTACTCAGTTGTCATAATCTGTGGATGATCCCATGGAAGGAGGTTTGGTTCAGATAGGGCAGAAATTTCCAGAAGAAGTGGCTTCTGGAGAACAGAGCCAGAAAGCAGCATGAGCCCAGTCTACTGTGTACACAACCAGCTTGAGGGTGGGAGCACATTAGGGTGAAAGCTCTATGGGTAGGAAAGCATATGGTCCATTCCATCCACCCATTGGTCTTCCAATGTCTTCCCAACTAATTAGATAACATTTCTAGAGAAAGTGATCTTATGAGTGTTACTTGGCAGGATTTCGGCTGATCTAGTGGACTTGCCTGAAAAAGGCACCGAGGACTCACCCTCTGTGTTCTGAGCCTTCATGGCCTGTATTCTTCTATTTGCCCATTTGCAGTTAAAACTGGAACAATATTTCCAGGGATAACACCTTCGCTCTCATATGTGCTAAATAGGTTTCTCTTCACCCCATCATGTAGCATTCCGGCTAATTTCTCCTGATTGTGAGGTCAGTTACGAGTGGGAATAGCTTCTTTTGTAGTCTGAGCGTCCATTGGCATGAAAGGCATCAAGTGATAAGGTGACATTACAATAAGTAACATGGACCCTAACAAACATCTCTAGAATATTTCATACATCAGTGTCTGATTTCACTTTTTTCTCAGCAGCACATGGAACATTTTCTAAAATAACCATGTTTGAGGTCACAAAGCAAATCTTAGTCTCTGCCATGCAACCAGCATGCTAGCTTCATACTAGAGGTTCGAAGCATAGAAGTTAACTAGTGAGATCAAAATAAACACACATAAACTCAATTTACCTTTTTCTTTGACCAGGTCTGAGATGGCTCTCCCCTCTGGCTCCTGCCTCGAGCCACCCGGTGGGGTAGCGAGGTTTAAACAAGAGACTAGCAGGAGAGAGAGAGGTAGGGCATGCCAGAGAGTGGCCTTTTATTGGGAAACAAGAAATTCAGGGGAAAATTCCATCCAATGAAGGTCGAGGGGGACAGCATTCCAAGGTCAGGGTCAGTGATTGGTCTCAGGGTCAATGGTCAGTCACACCCCTACACGGACAGGCTCTCGCACCTAAAAAGGGTGGGGATTAGTTCTGACACAGCTTGGCCGGAACACCTCACACCCAGTCAGGGAGATGCCCAATCACGTGCGAGAACGGCTTCCCACATTAGTCTATTAAAAAAAAAAAAAAAAACTATTGAAAATACCTTGCCTCCTATCAGATTCTAATGAAATGAAATTAGCCATCAATGATGAGATAAAAAACAGAAACCACTCTAATACCTGGAGATTAAATAATACACTTGTGAATGATGAATGGATAGGAGCAGAAATCAGGGGATAAGTTTAAAGAATGCCTAGAAGTAATTCACCTAGGGCCTGGAGAGGCCCAAAGTGATAAAGTGACTATCATAGCTTTCATTCCATTAGGGCTTTTAGTATAAGTCGTGTGCAGTGTCCCTGCCTCTGGAGCCAAGACATCTATTTCCACAGAAACTCAAGTTATGCAGGAAGGAAGCACAGATATCCTACAGAGGATCACTGGGAGTATAGGTTAGTCAGGCAGATTGAATTTCCATGTCTTGATTTTCTATATTAGTGTCTTCTCACAACCGGGATCACAACCCACATGTTGGTCATTGGTTTCATGTGCCTCCTGCTTCCTGAAGGTTAGTGCTCCATCCTCACAAGGGGTCATGACCACATGGCACCATGCCATGGCTTCAAGTGTCACATGACCATATCGGTTCAGTTACTTTGGGGTAAAGAATGAAGTTGTGACCTTGGATCCCGTGGTCATGTCTCCATTGTCCCACCTGCTTTGCTGCATATTGGTGTCTGTTGACATTATACTAGGATTCCATGGAACTGGATCAAATGCTTGGATCCCCCACATTGTGGTGCTCACTGAGGCAACCCAAGCTGAAAAGGCAGGTACCTCTCCAGAATACATACAAAACCCTAGTTTGAATCAAGAAACTGGCTGAAGTGCTCAAGGGGTGGTACCTTCCTAGAGCCTCCATGTTGGAGTATTGACAAATGCTCAGATATACAGCAGAGGATGCCCTTGAATTCTCCAGCTGGGACTCTTGGGCAAGGTACAAATGTAGCCAGCTCTTTGTTGGGCTTCTTGACCATCATGGGGGATATAGGTATCTTACTGAGGTATCCTTGAAAGACCTCTTTCTTGCTCATCAGACCTGGTATTCTGTGCAGTGTTCAGAATGTCCACTTCATTTTGGACTTCATTTTAGTGACAAAGAGCAGGAGAATTCACATAGCCCACAGAGAGTGGATGTGGTGAGCCGTTCCTATAGACCGTGGCCGCCATTAGAAGATGGCGCCGGCTTCCACTGTGGCCTGTGATAAACAACTCCTTTTATGGAGAATTGGCACGCAATCCCTTACCACCCTATGAGAAAGATCCATGTGGCAGCTTGGGATTGGTATGCGGGAGGCTTTATTAGGCTATGCTTGGGTGCTCGGCGGGGGGGTCGCTAGAAGATGATACTTGAATCAAGGCCTGAATAAACTGCTGAAAGAAGAATCCTGTGTCGTGTTTTCCCTTGCCGGCGAGGGGTCGCGACAGTTGGTGGCCCGTACGGGGACTTATATTCCTCGAACCCAGGATCCAGAACTTTCAGCAGTCAGGGTGGTGCACCGGTAAGTTCCCAGGTAAAGTGGGAATCCGCAAGCTAATAGCGGGATGCTCCTCGGTAAAGAAAGAGAGAGCGGGAAAAGGGACGCTCCCCTGTAAAAGGAAGAGAGCGGGGAATTCATAGAACGGAACGCTCCCCTGTAAAAGGAAGAGAGCGGGGATTTTTGTACTTTCATTTTCTTTATAGCTCTAAAAACATTATGGGCGCTACTTCTTCAAGCCCAATTTTGTTGGCCCTAGATGGGTTGTTATGTTCAAAAGGACTTAAGGTAAAGCAAAGCACTTTGCAGATGTTTTTGAAAGAAGTTGACATGGCAGCTCCTTGGTTTGCCTTTTCAGGGAGTCTTACGATTCCTAGCTGGGACAAATTAGGGAAAGATCTAGATTTTGCTCATGAGCAAGGCACCTTAGAGGGTGATGTTATACCGCTTTGGAAGTTAGTTAGAGGATGTATAGCAGATAGTAAATGCCAAGAAGCTATGAGTGAGGGTCAAGCTGTTCTTGAGCAACTACATGAGGAA